CCAATAAATTGTGGCTTCCGTTTGGGTCGTTTTTTCGAGACCTCATCAACACGATAATTTGCAATAAATGTTTGGCGATTGCAAAATCATTTTTTTAATTGTTTCCAGATGGAATTGTGAGTTATTCGATGCCGCAAGGCGATAAACGCGGATCCGGGTGGGAAATTTACGATGCAACATATGATGGCCACTGGGCCCAAGGAGGTCTCAAGAGAGGATTGGGTTCTTACGATGGAAGGTAATAATAATAGAATTCAATCAATTTAATAATAATTTGTCCATTATCATTTGTCATCATTATGATTTATTAATTCGATTTTCAGATTTGGCCCAGAGAATTTCAAAATGGGCTATTATGATCATGAGCGTGCCCAAGGTTGGGTAGGCTGGAGGAATGATACCAGGAATGGTAAACCAGTGGAGATCACTTTTGAATTTGACAGGGTTCGAGAATTTTCAGCAGTGCATGTGTATTGCAAAATCAGTTCACAAGAGATGTTCAGTAAGAAAAAAAAATCATATTTGTTCACATTGATTCAAAGCGTTTATTTTGATAAAATTGAGGGTCGAACCTTCAGCCTAACAATTTTTGCAATTGATCTTGGCATTTCAGTTAGGACATAAGAATTATTTCATAACTAGTAATTAGGTTAATTAAAAGACCTCTACGAAAAATTAATTTTATATTATTTTAAAGGAATCAAATGGTAGAAGTCTCAGACGTCAGAAGTGGGATTAAAGTAATTTATAACTAAGATTCGATTCTTGTTTAACAATGCTTCTGATAATATAACGTGGAAATCATCTACCTACCAAAATACGTCATTATCCTATTTCAAGGTAGTGGTAAAATCATTGTAACTCGCTCTGTTCACATAAGAAGATAAGTGCGATAGCACATGTTTCGACTCAGAATTTAATTAGCAATCAAGCTCGAAGGGGTTTAAGCTAATTATATTGGATTAAAGCGAATTACTTAAATCGTTACACGTGATTCTGCATAATCGCGTCGGGGGGAGAAACTTGCCCGAGACGAGGCGATCAGTGACTTTGCGGGTCGTAAAATAAAAAAGAGCTTCATATAGTTTTTATTTATATAATTTTGTTGCATACAACGCTCGCTTTAATTTTACGATGGCGGTAAATTATGGTAAACGCCAACGGCTTAAAGAGTTCATGTATTAAAAGGAATTGCCGCGCTTACTGCGTTATCCTTTAATGCGGTTTATGGTATTCTCGTGTTTAAATTTATTATAATATATTTTATATGTACCTGGAGCTTATATTTTGTATAACGGATACCGTATAGGATCGATATTGAAATAAAATTCAATCAGGATTATCACATGCTGAAGTTGATTGCGTATTGCAGACTTCCATGGAATGAATACTAAATTGATTGCTTTCATATGTTTCAAATTTTGGATTTATTTGATGACGACGATTTAGGTGTTGAATATAGAAAGATTTTAATTGTAAACTTTTAATCGTGTTAATTAATATATTTATATTGTACCTAGAGTTATAAAATCAGATTAGGGTTCTACCAGATTAGTGTTCCAAATATTTTATAATGTATATCATATTTTTAATACGACAATATAAATAAATTACGAAATTCGTACCATTTATATTAATAACTTGCTTTTACTTTAAAAATATTCGAAGTCGAAATTGTACCCAACATAAATTTATCTATCCTATCCTGCAGTTTAATTTTCTGTATTGTAGTTTTAATTAATCAATCTAAATTTGAGTTCATTCAAAGATGATTTTGCTATAATAGGAGAACGGTATTTTAAAAAATTGATTTTCACATCTATTATGGATTTATATAAGTGATTAATTATAAGCAATAAATGAAATTATTAAGCTGATACCTAACATTTACTTTGCAAATGCCAATAAAATCTAATTTCACTACAAATCACATTTAACATCGTTACTTGCATTAAGGATAAAATTGGAAAAGGGCAAAAGTTGATACATGAATAATATGCTCAAATTGATTATCTTAATGTTATTGTCATATCTTTTCAAACTTATATTTATGGCATTTAGATGCCAATCTCTCAATAAAATAGATCACAACATAGCTTTGTTATGGCCAACGCTTCCTTTATTCCTATAAATTGATTGTAAAAATAATCAAAATGCCATATAATTACTGTACGATCAAACTTTTACACATAAATCCTAACTTTACGTATGTGTTATCATGACACGTTAGAAAGATGCAGTTATAATAACATTCATTTTTATATGTGCGTGTTCTAGGTTAAGTTTTTATATCTAAACTCGAATGCACAGTAAATTCATAGCATTTTGCCAGCTTCTAGTACCATTTTATATGAAAAAGCATCGTAACTAAGCGTTTCCATAACATTGATTTATTTTGAGGTAGAATTGGCGCATTAATGTTGTCATATATTTTTTCAGAGCATTGAAATTGCAATTTTCAGAAATTGAAAAATTTCAGAGCAAAGTATCACTATTAAAATATTTAGATAAAATTCATTATTTCCAAACAAAATCATTATTATTAATATTAAGGTAAAATTCTCAGTGTTGCAATAAAATAATTTTAAATTGCCTTTATATTTGAGATCACTTATGTTTTTATATATTACGCTAATTATTATTTCCTAATACACCATATCATTCATTTGCTATATTTTTACACCATATTACTTCATACGATTTAATCCTATACCTTATATATTTTTACTACGATTGTCGAAGGATTATCGCGCGTACTCAACGCATCTTCCCGAGGATTTCACATGTTAACCTAACTTAATAGAGTCCACAGAGGACATGTTGCGAATATATACGAGGTAATAGGATTTGCTGTTTGGATTTGGACAATTATGGGATTAGTGTTATGTATCTGATTCATGTGGATGCTACAATCAATAGAGTAAAATAGATTACAAATACAGAACTCAATTTATTTTCAATATGTCGTCACTAAGATGTCACTATTCAATGGAATTGAAGTCGACACGCTTGCTATTCATTGACCTATATAATATATTATAAACATATAGAGTTCTAGTAATAATTAATTGAAACTTTGAATTATTGGTTTAATAGACCATATACAATTTGGCAAAAATAATATTTTCAAATGTATTCGGTGTACTTGCAAAAGAACTTGGTGCGTTTAGTCGTACATGATTTTCATTTTTATGATATTTTTGTTTCTCTCTGAATAAAAACTAAGATAAATACATCTCTTTGATATGTGTTTTCAACATGTTAATAAAACGCACTGGCCGTTGTTTTACAATACAAAGACCAAAGGCATTGTTTTATCTAGTTTGTCGTTACATATGTTCCGGCCTGGTCTACTGCATTGTGCACTACACATGCCCCAGGGAAATGTAGATGCTATTTTTCGATTGAACTATTTTTTTACTTTATGTCAACCCGATGCAGTTTTAACTAAATAAACATGGATGGACGTGTGCAAAAAATATATTTCCTGACAAAAATCCAGCGGTGAAAGATTGAAAGTTTTGGGTGAAATGTTTTATGATACCTTTTCACTCAAAGTTGAAAATGGGAATCGTTAGAAATAGACAAAATATTGGAAATAATTTTATCATAATATTTTATATCTGTTGATTCTATATTCTTATGGACTCTGATAGTTTTCACTTCCCCATATAATATTCTATTTCAATATACTTTACAGCTGCTGCAAGTCCACGTATATTTTTGTAGACACCAATCTCGTTGTGTAAAGCTCAACTATGTTCGAGAACAGGGTACAAAACCAATCCCTTCGGTTAGTGTAGGGTTTACCATCAGCAAAAGGGTTAAAAGTTAAGGAAATCCATCTTACTTGATTTGCATAAAAAGTTCGACGATATGACACTTTCTAAGGCAAATTGAAGGTAAAACTACAAAGGTCAGAAGGAGCACTAAATTGTTCTAAAATGTGCTATTGGGTAATTAGATTGAAGAAATAGGTGGTTTTATCAATCGCGATCTAGAATATGTGGTTTATGGAAACTTTCGAGAGTTGGTAAGGCAAATATAACCAGCACAAGAAATTTTAAGTTGGTCAAATTATGTGAAATCTATTCATCACATAATAATTCGTTTATCATAACCAGTTGTGGCTGTAGATAATTAAATAATCTGCACATTGATGCAAATTGGGATTAAATCAAGGTATAAAGAATTATATGCATATGGGTATGAGAGAAAAGATGAACAACGCAGAAATGCAAATTCCAGAACTGGAATCGAGGTATAGCCCTGGAGCTTCCTATGCAAAACGTTCCTCCGGTGAGCAAAGCAATCGGAAAACACATGCATGTATTTTCTATTTTTCTCACAGTGTGTTAGTAGAACGTAATGTACCGAGAAAACCAACTGCCATCTACTCGACCACGTTTCGACTGAGCTGGGCGCTTTTTGCTTTGTGAGATTTTAATTTATTATGCATTTCACTTACGAGCAACGTCGACGCTCTTCTGCAGTACACAGTAGTAGATGCAGTCAGCCAAAGGCGCGATGCAAGTAACAAAAGAGCCGAGGAAAAAGTTTGGAAAAAACTGCACAACGGATGAAAACTTACACGTACAATGGACAAAGGACAAACTTTGATGTGTCGGAAACAAAGGGAATTATTTATCACATGTGTTATGGGATTATTTATTTAGGTGTTCGTATTGTAAGAATGCGAGGATTTCTGATAATTAATATCACTTCAGTCACGTTGTCTTTTTAGAACTACGAAAAATATTATTGTTGCAAATTCTTCTCTAAAGCATATATTCAACTTTTTTGGTACGAGCATCGTCTATAGTTGATATATAGGTGTGTCGAAATTACTGGTGAATCAAATTTCAAATTATTATTATTGGGCGGCTCACTGGTTCGTATAGTAGCGGCACTCCTGGGGCAAACACCTTTGCTGTAGAAAAAGAGTCAAATTTGACCCATAAAATTTATTTATATAAGATTCTGAATAGCAATATTATAAAATTACCGTTCAAGGTATATAATCGGAAATTCACAAGTATCTTACATATTTGAGCAAAGGTTTTGCTCGAGTTTGAGGCAATCGCAGTTGTTTTATATCCTTAAAAATAGCAATCAAGATACAGCAGGTCTTGAAAGATTTTGTAAAAATAATTAATA